AAAACCCAGCCCTGGAAAACACACACACACACACACACACACACAATTAAAATTGAGTTCTTTATACCATTAAGAGAAAAAAAAGATCAAAACTATGGACATTAAAATGGTAACAAATTCACAACTATCAACAACTGAATCTAAAAAAAATACTAAGGAAAGAACCAGAATATGAACAGAATCATAGATATGGAGATCATTTGGAGGGTTATCAGTGGGGTAAGGGAAAGGGGAGAATGGGGAGAAAGGTGCAGAGTTAAGAAGCATAATTGGTAGCTACAAAATACACAGGGTGAGGTTAAGAACAGTATAGGAAATGGAGAAACCAAAGAACTTATATGCATGACCCATGGACAGTAAGTAAGGGGCTGAGGGTTGCTGGAGGGAAGAGGGATACCAGCAGAGGAGGGCAAAGGGGAAAAAATTGAGACAACATTAATAGCATAATCAATAAAATATATTTTAAAATGTGTTAATATATGTACTGCAGTTTGATGTATATTTTCTACAGCATGTACTTCTTCAGCTTAATTATTAAAAGCCACCAAGTTAAAATGATGCAGAAACTAACAGAATTAGTTTATATACTTTTATAATGTCATAAAACCCAGAATAAATCTGTATGTTTTCCTCTTTATCTAACTCATAATAGTAAAACATATTAAATATGTACTGTTTATGAATTTGAGAATGAAGACACAGTATCCCTTTATTAAATATGTCTAGGTGTGCACTTAAGTTTGGTTTTCAGCTTTCAGGAATAACTAAATAAAAACCACATATAAAGCCCTGGCTAGGAGGCTCACTTGGTTGGAGCCATTGTCCCATACACCAAAAGGTTGTGGGTTCGACCCCAGGTTGCGGGTTCTATCCCGTCAGGACGCACATGGGAGACAACTGATAAATCTTTCTCTCTCTCCACCCGCCTTCCTCTCCCTCTAAAAATCAATAAAACTGTCCTCAGTGAGGATTTGGGGGAAAAAAAAAAGAATCACATAAAAATTCTGTAATGGTTTTAATCGTTTTTTTTAATCATAGTAAAAATTTTTCTTGTACATTTAATGAAGAATAAAAGTATGTTGTTAAAATTGATCGGTGAAGAATCAGGCAAGATAACAAACAATAAAACTGTAGGACTTACAACAAAGGCTAATTTCTAACCTAAGCTCCATGCACCTTGTGTCTGGCAGAACAGAAACTGCCCCTCACAATCACGCAGGGGCCCAGGCTAACAGAGCAACGCCCCTCCGTGCCAGAGGGAGGAGAGAGCTCTGTAGAATTTCACGTGGGCAAAGGTGACACTTCACTTCTGTTCATAACTCACTGGCCAAAAAGAGTCCTATGGCTTTACCCAATCCCCAGACTGCCATAAAAAGCACCTCAACTTTATGTCTGGAAAGGGGGGAATGGGAAATACTTGATCAATTGTATCAATGATTTCCATTATATGTAGTTAACCTTTATTGACTAACATATATCGAACTTAAAATTATGTATGGTTGTTTTGTAGATTCCATTGTAATGTGAAAAATATGAAAGTCTCTTAAAATAATCAATTTTTCATTTAAAATAATCAGTGTCACTAACATCTACTACTTCAGCTCTTCAAAGTTGCTTTTTTTTTCCAGATAATGACACATCCTATGGATAAGTATTGAGAATAGCAGAAAAAAATTGCTTATATTTAAATACATGGTAAAAATTGAGGGATCAATATTTTCTTCACTGCTGGCTTTGCTCTGCTCTCACCAGACTCTCCAGTGACAATGCATTTCTTAACCACAGAGGATGGAAGAGATATGCTGATTAAAGGAAATTTACTATTCCTCTCATACTGATGCTCACACAGTGTATCTGATTTCAGAAAATCACAACTAATATCCAATTACTGCATTTCTAACAACCATACTTCACCCTTACCTGGCATGCATGTAAGACAGGAAAAGATGAGAAGCCTAAGGGCTTATAGTGCTTTGACTGATCATAGTGCTTTGACTGATCATTAAGGGAAGCTTCCCTCTAAAGTATGTTGAACTGTCCCTTTGTTTGTTATCCTAGAGGGTTTTTCACCCTGGGTGAGGGATATACCTTTCTTTGGTAAAGTGAGAAAAGAACTATTGTAAATGTAGAAGTAGAAGACAAGAACCTATCTGATTCTAGGAAAGAGTACTTACAGGGGATCTATAAATTACTTACGTATAATTTACTTAAAGGAGTAAGTATCCATTTGTCCCTTGGACTGTGCCATACAGTAGGAACTTGAAGTTGAAGCAAGCTTCATTCTTGCTCTAATGGTAAGGAATATGTGCTATACAATATGATGGGCTTTCTATTTTACCATAACCTACAGTAAGAAATATATTTTACACTATGATCCAACACACACATACACATATTCCATGAAACAGTAATTACTCTCACTACATGTAATGCACTCTGATATTCCCTACTCTAATGTCTTTTAATGCTAGTCGCAACCAAGTTGATTTCACCACCAACTAATGATTCATAGCCCACGATTTTAAAACAATGTACTATAGAAAAAAAAAATATGTGAGGCAATCTCTGATTATAAGAAGTGTCCTTAAGAAAGCTTTAGCTTGGCCCTGGCTAGTAGGGCTTAGTTGGCTGGAGCAACCCCCTGGAAACCAAAAGGTCGCAAGTTTGATTCCCAGTCAGGGTACATGCCTAGATGGTGGGTTTGGTCCCAGTAGGGTTGGTAAGGAGTGGCAGCTGATCAATGTGTCTCTCATATTAATGTTTCTCTCCCTCTTTCTCTCCCTCCCGTCCCCTCTCTCTAGGATCAGTGAGCATGTCCTTGGGTCAGGGGAAGAAGAAGGAGAAGGAGGGGAAGAGGAGAAGAGTGGGAGGGGGAGGGGGAGGGAATAAAGAAGCCTTAGCTTAGAGATACAAGTGCGTAAACTGAGGTCTTGAAGTCAATGCCCATAGGAGGTTAAATTTTACTCTGTTATGTTAGTTTGCCCACCCTAATATTTAAGTTTTTCCATTGGTCAGTAACACCTCTATGGGACGATATAAGCTTGCTGTTTCCACCAAGACACTGAAAAATGTCTCCCAAAGATACCAGGTTCTAATCCCTGAAACTTGTAAATACTACTATATATTGAAAAGGGGATTTTGCAGATATGCATAAATTAATGATCTTAAGGTGGGGAGATAATCCTGGATTAACCAAGAGCACCCTATATGCAATTACATGTATCCCTGTAGGAGGGAGGTATTGGGAGATCTGACGCACATAAGGGAAGTTGCTGTGAAGAGGAAGCAGAGAGAAATTTGTAAATGCTGGCCTTAAAGATTGGAATGATGTGACCCCAACTCAATGAAGTTGGAAGAGTCAAAGAACTGATTCTGCCCCAGAGCCTCGGCAGGGAGCAAAGCCCCGTCAACACTTTGATTTTGGCCCACCGGTACAGATTTTGGACTTCTGGCCTCTGGAACTGTGAGAGAAAAATATTTTAAGCCAAAAAGTTTGTGGTATTTTGTTACAGCAGGCTCAGGAAACTAATATGAACCTCATTAACTTGACTTAAAGAGGGTCACAGTGCAAAGTGCCCAGAGTACACAGTCACCTGTAACTTTATACCTTGCTAGTTTTCAAGACAGAGTTATGATTTAAAAAAAAAAATTTAAGAGTTATGGTAGTGTACAGAAATTCACAAACATACTAACACAAATAATAACTAGGTAAAAAGAGAAAAACCAAAGACAGATATACAAAATAGAGCCAACAACAATGTTTATGCAAATATACATATGAGAGTTGTTGCCATGAGCCCACAGCAAATTTGGCTTTAAACTTACTAAGAGCCAATATACAACGGAAGCCTCCTTGTTTACACAATTCAGGGGCCATGAGATAAAAAGCAAATCAACTCCACAGAAACACAAAAGACAAGGAGAAATTTCTACCCAGAACAGTTCTGTGGGCTGAGCAATGCAAAATAAGATGAGGATATTCATTGTACCATGCATAAATGTGACTGTAGTAAACTTCTTACACCAGACCCAAGTTTCTATGGCTACTTAGTATATCATAGAATAACAACGTGTCAAAACTTAATTTGATTAAAGCAAATTCTATAGCACAGATTGATGTCAACACATAAAATTTTATAGAAGGGAAGAGCGTGTTGATAACATATATTTTAAGTATATGGCTCACTGCTGATTTGCCTTATTTCTAGGGCACATTTTAGAGTATTTATGAAAGGTTTTGAATAATGCTCAGGAAATAAGCACTGTCCTCAGCCAAACTATCACACATTCAATAAATGTTTCATACAATGTTTACGGGATGTGGCTTGCTTGAGAGTAGGTTTAGTATAGAAAAAAACATTTATGTAGTTTCTACTATCTGCCAAATAGGGTCTGCATAACTGCTGAGGAGTCAGGTAAATCCCTGTCCCTGTTCCTATCACTATCCCTGAAGAAGAATCCAGGCCAGAGGGGTAGAGGGACACAGAGGGCTCCAAATAGTGCCCCTAAGCCAGCAAGAGGGTATCAAGAACGGTCTCCTGCAAATGACAGTAACCGCCTATTAGAGAACGAGTGGACAGGCGGAAGGAAAGGTGTTAAGGCACCCCACGTGATTCAGAACACCCTTCGGCCCTTAAATCAAGGAATGCCCTAGAACACGTCAAGTACTAAGGTGGATAAAAAGAGAAAGAGAACACCCAAAAAGAGTTAGAAGGAAAAAAAAAGTGCGTTTTATCCTCCACAAGGCGCACTCACAACCACTGCTTCAGAGGTTTGTGGCGCCATTTCCAACAAAATACAGTTAGCGAACCCGGCAAGGCCTTATAGGAAAGTGAGTCTTTCTCCCGAACCACCATCTCCTTGGTCCTACTCACAGCGTGAGGCGCCAACCTCACTGCGCAGGCGCCATGTCTGGCGCTAGCCGCTCTGGGTCTTCCGGTAGGGATCCCCTCTAGCCCCCAAGCTGTCGTTTCCTCTACTGCTCTCCGCTGCTGTTACTGGCGAGGCTTGGGGTTGGGGGCGGGCCTTCCGGCAAGCAAAAGGGCGCATGGGGGAGGAAGGTCACCACTAGGTAAGGCTGGCTGTGTCTTCTGTGGGGGTCTGTAGTGAGGTAGGGGCGGTGACTGTCGAGGTCCTGCAGGGGTGCACAACCTTGTAGGGTCGCCAAGAACAGAACGAGTCCCATTAGTAAACAGCTTGGAGGTTTCGCCGATATGATACGATCAACTTGGCCTTTTCGTGCGTAAATTGAATATTCCCAACGGGACGCTAGCAAAGTTTCCTCTCTGCGCAGTTACTGTCTCCCTGTTTAGCAACTCTCAAGGCTCAGTTTCCCTGTTCACCGGATGGCTTTTTGCACTGTAGCTTTGTATGGTGCATGCAGATTAATTTTGTTACCGGTTTAAGACAAATATAATAAAGTGATCATTTTAAAAATAATTCTCTAAATACCCTGCCGATTCATTGTCAGTTGACTTGCCACTAATCCTTCCATCACAGGCAGGCGCGATCCAGTCACTTGAGGGATTTGGGAATGTTCCTGTTGAACCGAATAAAGCAGATACATATTCAGAGCCATTCATGTCTCTATACGACTCAGTAAATAATCGGTACTGGGCTTTAAAAATAGTAAAGTGTTACGTTTAGACTGTTGTCCTGTGAAACACGTGTGCACAGTGTGCCTGAGTTCCTTGAGGCCTGGTGATTATTAGGGCAGGCGCTGTGCCATAGCTTTACACGACAGCCTCACAGTGCAGGAGGCAGTGTAACTGTCCTCATGTACTGAATGAGAAAGCGAAGGCAAAGAATGTGGTACTACCACTGTAAACCCCACATGGCCATTAAAGAGCAGAGGCAAGATTCCAACCAGATTTTCAGCCCCAAAGCCGGTGCATTCCTCTAACCGCTGGTTGTGGAGAAAGGAGAAAGCTCTCTCTCCAGCAGGATTCACACACACATAAACTCGCATTTCAGCATACATTATTAAAGTGCCACGGCGTTCACCACGCTGGATATCCAGGTTAAAAACTCCTGCACTTTTCAAAGAAAAAAAAGGCAAAGCTAATCCAAAGCCAATATTGAAATAAATAATAAGCCTGACCTTTTAAGTGCCTCAGACCTATCAGAAAGATCAAAGAAACTCGACCTTTTATGCCAAGGTGAAAACATGGGAATTTTCTTGTGTGGGCTTAACATGTTTCAGTAATTTGTTTTTGGTTAGCATTTTCAACTCCAGTTAATTTTTCTTCATGATACTGTTTTCTTTAGTTCACATTTAAAGAAAAGTGATTTAATTGTACCCATTAGAATGGCTTCATATGAACAAAAGTCTAATTGACATGTTAATTATTTGCCTTTTAATTTCATGCCTTTAACAGGGGCATCATATTTTTTTAAATGAAATTTAAAGACTCTATAAAGAGGCCCACCAGGGTCCTGAAAAGTCCTAAGGCTTTCAAATTTTTTTTTTAACTTTAAAGCCAGTAAAAAAAAAGTGGCTATTTGCCAGTCTTAGAACCAATATTTATGGACAGCAGAACTTCTTAGCTGTTTTTAGCCTTTATTTAAAAAAAAAATCAAGTTCCTATGCTGTTCTGAATCATTCACATGTGTGCTATGTAGAAGGAGCCTACAAAGCAGTAATTGGTAATTATTATAAGCATTTTCAATTTCCTTCTACTTAGCAAGTGGTTCTTGGTAACTAGTGTATTGCCTTTGTCCATCAAAAAAGTTTTAGGACTTGGATTTTGTGATATAACCATGATCCAATGGGTTCTAATGAGACCTTATGATTTATAAGCTGTGTCTCACTAATTTGCTACATTCTAAAGTGGGCATGGATGTAACTCAGCACCCTGTGATGGCTTCAGTGACCACTGTCCTAGTACGTCCCCTCCTCCTTGCTATCTGTCAAGTTATCAAGCTGATGGTTCCCCCGCCTGTTTCTCTGGCTGTCTGTCTTTGTAAGTGAGGATATATCCCAGAGAGGTACAGGTATAACTTCATAGAATGTGTATCTTTTTTGGCATAATTAAATGTGTACATAAATACATGTGTCTGGATGGAACATATGAGCGCCAATTTACAACAGGTTTAGATTTTCTTTTTTAAAGGTGAATGCCATTTACTGGGTGCCACTGCCTTATTTCTCTCAATATCCTGCAAGCTTTGTTTTCCTAAAAGGAAATTCAGATTTAGAGAGAATAGGTTCAGCTAATGGTTCCTAGGCCACCTTACAGATAACTGATTGTGAAAATACCATGCAATTGCAACAAAAATCTATTCTGATGCCGTAACAGTAATTAAACAAAACAAAGTAAAGTTGATTAAGAAACAGTTTGGCTTTTTCATCTGATGTTTGGAAAAACATAACTTTAAAGGTGGGAAGCAGAGAAAAAATAAAGCATTCAAAGAAACTTTGTATCTCTGAAGGCAACTTCTGGACATTTGCAAGGACTTCAGAGGTTTAAAGCACTGATTTGTTAACTATTTTCTATTTATACATTAAACCAGCAATTTTCAACCTTTTTCATCTCATAACACAACATAAACTAATTACTACAATTCTGTGGCACACCAAAAAAATACATTGTTGCCAATCAGTCAAAAATAGGTATAATTTTGATTCATTCAAACAGGATGGTTATTGTTATGTTGGCTGTTGTCATCTTATTTGTTGGTCTGAAGGAAAAGAGGTCATTGCCCCTGACTAATGGGGCAATGTGTTGCATGTTTTAAACATTCTGCGGCACACCAGCTGAAAATCACTGCATTAAACAATTGATGACTTTTTTCCTCATTGATGAAAATATAACCCTATCACCATCCACATAACGGAGAACATGTCGGAAAAGAAGTGAATGTGGGAACTGGACACACCGAATGGAAAAGGGAAAAAGAAAGAGCAAGACTTGCACAGAACCAGGTTTTAGGGGTGGGAGAAAGGCAAGGGATCTTGAATCTGACAGTTCTCCCCTTGCTGGCCTTCAGGTGGCACTATTGGCCCAAGATTGCTTGGTTGGTTTCTGAATGGCACATGGTCTGAGACAGACAATTCAGAAGTTGGTTTGAGGCCAGCCTCTGTTCTTTGAATGGATCTAGACATGGACTTGAAATATTCCTTAATTAAAACACTGGTTCTGTTGTTTTTTTTTCTTGCATGAGCTATTTTGAAATTTACTTGGCATCATTCCTGTTAAGGAGGGTTTTCTGTATATTTCTTCCACTGGTTTTTCAAGATACGTTTATGACTTTTTGTTTGGAGATCCACTTCTTTTCATCTCAACTGAACTTCCCCCCAGGATGGTCTCTTAGCAAAGATTCTCACCTCACTATGTACAAAAATGTCATGTAACATAGCATATTCCACCAGTACTTACCCCTGTGTCTTAACTGGAATGGAATAAGATAGTTATTCCACCAGCAATACTCTTCATTCTTCTGTATAACCTATATAGTTTTTTATGTATATTAGCTGTAATTTCTGTATATTACAGAAATCATTTATATACCTATTTTGACATTATTTGCCTCTGAAGAAAAAGTTACTGTTTTCAGATAATAAGAACTTAGATAGTTTGCATTAAAGCAGAGTATATAAGATGGAAGATAAGACAAGTAACATCACAGTTCATAAGTGCCCTCTATTCAGGAATAAAATGAATCTTTTGAGCTCTTCATTTTATTTCCATAAGACTACTGTCTCTGTTTGTTTTTCCCAAATGGCTCTCAGTCTCTAGGCAGAATTCAGTCCAGCAACCTAGAGGCTAAATGACCTCATCACTCATTAGCAGTTCTCAGCCATCTGGAGCCCTTGAGGAGCTCAGTGTTCAAAGGGCCGATAATAAAGACAACAGCATAATTATTTCCCTGCCATGATTAAACCTTTAGATGGCAAGCAGTCAGCATGTTTATTCTGCGGACTGCTTAGGTAGGTGTTTTCTGTAGGTATAATAGTGCTGGGGTAGGAAAAACGTGTTTCTCTGCCCTTATCTAGCCTCCAAATAGGTAAACTGACTATCGGTAAATAACCTATTGAATCACAAAATAGTTCATTGTAAAAAGGGCAGTAGAGCAAGGAGCAATAGTATGTGAACACCAAATGTAAAAATTGCAAATATAAAACATGCAAAGGAAACAGCCACTTGTACTGCGGATATTTCTCAACTCCAAGACATGTCCTGCCAGCAACATGGACGGATTCGCTTGTGACTTGCTACACTTTCATTTTCTAAAGTGTTCATTGGGTAATCTGGGTATTTCTTACACTAACCTTTTTGTCTTCTCATTTTCTGTAGGGACTCCTGCTCTTTGCTGCCCCAGCAATGTCTTCACTCTCAGAATATGCCTTGCGCATGTCTCGTCTGAGTGCCCGGCTATTTGGTGAAGTTGCCAGGCCTACTGATTCCAAATCCATGAAAGTGGTGAAACTGTTTAGTGAGCAGCCTTTAGCCAAGAGGAAGGAGACTTATGACTGGTACCCAAATCACAACACTTATTTTGCACTCATGGGGATACTGCGTTTTTATGGCCTCTATAGGTAATGACAAAAACAAACAAAAAAAAACAAAGAGCAACCTATAAGAAATTTTTGTAGTAGATCAGAAGAAGGGGAAAAAATTGTCTTTCTATCTTTATAGTTTTGTGGATCTTATAGTAGTGCCCAGGTAGTTCAAAAGGTACAGTTTGCGGGGGAAAGGCTTTCAAAATATCAATAATGGGCATACCAAAGATAAAAGGTAACATTCACTTATTGGAAGACCTTTTAATTATATCTATAACGTGACTTAACATTGACTAGATACTGAGCTACACAGAGATGTATTTAATTAGTCATTAACAGCACTCTAGGCAGATGCAGAGGAAACTGGTATAACCACTAAGCAAGTTCCTGTGGATCAGATGAAGAGAGACCCTGCCCTGTGGGTGATTTGCCTCCTTTCTTTCGTGCTGGCAATTTTGTTGGAGCTCTTACTGTCTTCCACCCTCTGGGCATTTTTAGTTGGCACCCTTTTTGATATACTGACATGGTCTAAGTAAGCTGTAGTTCACCATTAAGAGTAATATGTAATAGATACTAGATTAGAATAATGTGTAATAGAGTAATAGGTTCTTTCCACCATGCATTTATTTCTATGTTTGAGTACATATAGGAAATGGGAGCTTAGGAGTATATACGACTCTGGAAAAAAATAGATCAAATAATTAGATGATCACTTTGTTTAAAAAAAGTCTTAACAAACTAATACATGCTCATTACAAAAGAATTCAAACAGTGCATAATTGTATAAAGTTAAAATGCCTACTTTTTAAAATTTAACGTGTTTTCGTTGGACTTAGGGCAACAAAACAAAAATTAGTTTGGGACTGTTCACTCCAATATAATAAAATTATTAGTTCATTCCAGATAGCTAAAGATCAGTCCATTCATTTATCCAACAGATACTTTTTTAAGTACCTGCCATGTATGGGCACTTACTATGGGCACAGGGGAGTAAACAAAATAGAATAGATTTCCTTAGTTAATATATTATTAGAGGTTATAATCCATGACATATTTTGAATTTCTGGAATTGCTTTTGGGGTAGTTTCCCTTGCCACTACTCTGAACTTAGGGGATAAAAATTAATTTTATTATGAACCAAAAGAAAATATCACTGGAAGGCAGATTTCTTAAGAAGAAAATTATAACCCATAACAAAATCACATTCAGCTATTTTAATGTACCTGTTTGCTGCCATTCTCTATTTGTTTTTGGGGGGGGAAGCCTTGATTATCTTTGGGGACAAGGAAAAGACACTTTAGTGATCCATGGAAAAGCAAAATTATTTTCATTTATTTAGCTATGGCAAACGGTACCTTGAAAGCAAGGCCTGCTGTGTTGTCAGGCAGGATGAAACTAGACAACCTCCAGTAAAGAAAATATTACTCCAAGACCTGCCAGGGGAGGGAAGCACAGGTGCTTAAATACTGTGGCCCACTCAGTCCAGCAGGTCCTTGGGCCATTTCATCAACGGAGACAAGATCCCTGCCTTTGAAGCTTGCTTTCTGGCGGGGGGTATATGGAAATGGGGGAAGAGAATGTGGAAGAGGGGGGAAACCTAGTAAATAAGTAAATTATGTGGTATATTACAAAGTTGGATATCCACAGGAAGAAAAATAGTAGAGCCGGCTAGGCAGGATCAAGGGTGCCGACAAACACTCGGTGGGCAGGGAGTGGTCAGGTCACAGTATTAAACAGGACTGTCAAGCTCGCCTCATTGCGAAGATGAAGGTGGTGAGTGAGCCCAGTGGAACCTGGGGAAGAGCTTTCAAGGCAGAGGTGAGAGCAGAGCAAAGGCCCAGAGGCAGGCATGTACCTGGCATATCCCAGGAGCAGAACGGACCAAGGGCTGAGTGGTTGGACTCCAGACAGATCACGCCAGGCTCTGGGGGCCGTGGGAGGACTCTGACTTTTGCTCTGGGTGAAATGGGGAGCCGTTTGCAGGGTTGTAGACAGAGAGGCAGCATGATGTGACTTACATTTTGGAAGAGCCACTCTGGCTGCTCTTTGAGAATAGATTATTTGGGGCAGTCACAGCTAATCCCAAAAATGTCTGCTGTACCCCCCATGTCCATGGACTGAAACAGCGTACCCTGTAAAACCACTATTTTAGAACAGCCTAGGGAGTTAAAAATTGGCCAGCAAACCCAACTATCACATCTAATTCACATGCCATTATTTTCCACACTTTACAGATGAAGAGACGAAGATTCAGAGAGGGAAGGTCACTTATCCGAGGTCACACAGCTACTAAATGCTGGAGCTGTGATTTGAACTCAGGTTAAAATGGGTTCCAGAGCTTACATATTTAAATCTCAGTGGGTTGAGTGCCGGCCTGCAAACCGAAGGGTCACCGGTGCAATTCCCAGTCAGGGCACATGCCTGGGTTGCAGGCCAGGTCCCCAGGAGAGGATGCTCGAGAGGCAACCACACATTGATGTTTCTCTTCCCTCTCTTTCTCGCTCCCTTCCCCTCTTAAAAATAAAAATAATCTTTTAAAAAATAAATAAATATATATCACAGTATTCTTTAGGTATAGAATGATCTTAGAATGCAGACACTTTTACACTGTAAGCAGGTTTCATCCTATACCCCAACACGTGTCCAAGTAGTCCTGGCTGCCTTGATCCCCGGAGTACCTGTCTTTTCATTTGGCTTCCATCTGCCCTTCCCCTGCGGCCCTTTGGTGTGAATTCTCTGCTGCCATTAAGGCAGCTGCCACCACACCATACCCCTTGTAGTAGGTGCTAATTCCGGGGGCTTTGGGGGTCTCCATGCAGCTACTAAAGTTTTGACCCACTTTCTGCTCCTCTCAGTGTTTCATCTTAGTGTTATAGAGAACTTTGGGATCAATAGTAGTGTCATATCATAGTTACATAGGTTTACATGACTGGCCTAGGAATTAACTATTTGTGACGTGGTTTCTGTGAGGGGGAACTGTGACTTAGAAATAAACTTTAGAATACAGTACATCTGTGTGTTGGGGACTCCCTGTCCTTTCTGCTCACCAAACTGAGCATATGCTTTGTAGGAATCAAGGATTAATTACCAGAACCCCCTAAGGGAACAGTGCTAGATTGGTGTACTTTTCCAATCTGTAAAAATACTGGCTTATTTTTTCTATCTCCCTTCAGAGATGAGCATCAGGACTTCAAGGATGAACAGTTGCGTCTGAAGAAGCTTCGTGGAAAGGGGAAACCAAGGAAAGGAGAAGGGAAAAGAGCGGCAAAAAAGAAATAATGTTGGTTAATGCAAAGGGAAAACTTCTTCCTCAGCAACTGAGAGCAGGAGAAAGAGTATTTATCATCTTTCCCCACATGGGAGGAGCGTAAGCTTCCCAGGCTGAAGAGTATTTGGAGGAACACAATCATCTCCGTGCTGACGTCTGATCCAGTTAAATTGTGACTGGTTTCTTGAACACATTCTATTTCTGCAAATTATTGTGGCCTTGGTTTTGTAACCCAAGGTTTGCCTCATTCATTCCCTAAGAAAAGAATGTATAAATTATTGTTGAATGGCGTGTTCTGGTGAGGGTGGGACACTGGGGGACGTGGAAGGGAAACATTAAGTAAGCACCCTGTCATCTCGTTACTCCCTCTTGCTTCCCCACGTAACCAGCCCTGAAGTCTTGCGTCTCTGGCTGTTCGGCTGCCATCTCCACCACCAAGCTCACAGACTTTGTGCCTCTCCACCTACTCCTTTGGGAATATCTAGTAAGATAGATCAGTGGGAGAAAAGGCTGTCCCCTGGTAAGAGAATATTGAATATCTGCTGTAACCAAGGTACTGGGACCCTGGTAATACAATGATTAGCAAGAGAAAGAGTCCTTACCTGGTAGGACTTTCAGTACCTTGGGAGAGGCTACTATTAGCTAATTACATAAATACAATTGTATTAAGTGCTACAGAGGAAAAATCCAGACTTCCAGGAGAGGGTAGATGGAATGATCCAGAGATAGCATGAGGTCCATACCTCAGTAGGGAATTTAAAGGCCTCCCTGAAGAGAGATTTCAGCGGGCTCTGAAGGATGAATAAGAGGCAGAAGAAAAATGATGGGGAAAGTGAGGCACAGAGAACACCTGCATGGGTGTCCAACCTTTTGGCCTCTCTGGGCCACACGAAGAAAAGTTGTCATGGGCCACATGTTAAATACATTGCAACAAGTAATCACAAAAATATCTCACAGTGTTTTAAGTACATTTATGATTTTGTGTTGGACTGCATTCACAGCCATCCTGAGTCATGTGGGCCACAACTTCGACACCTCTGAGCCTAAGGTAAGAACAAGTCCTGTTCAAAGAATTGAAAAAAGACCACTAACTAGTACTGGTTGGTCATAAGGAAACAGAGGCCAAATCACAAAGGACTTTTTGCAAGTTCTGTGAAAAAACTTGGACTTAACTGGAGATCAGAGTGTGTGAGGAGGTGGTGTTTCTCTGAGACAGACGACGTGTATACATTGAGTAGCTGGCTGCTCATTTTACTGTATTCTTACAAGGAGCTTCTGGTGAGGCCCTGAGGGCTTCTCTGATGGTTTTCCTAAGAGCGGCTAAGAGTAGCACTGTCTAGTAAATTCTTTTTTTAATTGTGGTGAAAAACAAAATTGACCCTTTTAACCAGTTAACCTGTTTCTACCTCTGTGGAGAAGACAGCACAGTGCACAGGCAAGAGTATGTATGGCAGCTACGATTTTTCTTTATTTTCTTTCCCTGCAACTTCAGAAGTATTGGCAATAACTTCCCTGTGAATAATTCCTAAACCAGTAAGGATCCCACTACATATATTTAGATAAATGATACTTTCAAAAGATACATAATCCAGATGGTATGGCCCAGGCCTATATTATAGTTGGTAAAAATAAAAACTATAAAAATTGGATGATTTGTATCTGATAGATGTGAATTCCAGCAGAAGGCTGAGAATCCATTTAGAACTCTTTCCTGATCGCCTGCCACATGCCTGATACATGCTAGCTGTGGAAGACAGAGCTGAACAGACTTAGTCTGTAAAATTATGTGAATGAGCATGTGCACATTGTAAAATATTGACAACATCTCAGGGATTTGCTCAGGAAAGTGCAGACGCACCTTGGCCGGTGCATCTGAGCCTGCTGGGTGGGTGACTGCCCCAGGACGTAGGGCTGAGAAACAGATTTGCAGCCTGAACCCGGTGCAGAACATCCCAGTGGGTGTTCTAATTTATGTCCTCTCCGACGTTTAGAGAAGACCCAAATTACTAGAACTTAAGAGAATTAACCTGTTACTTTAAAGAGAGTAACTATATTAGTCCTGGCTAGTGTAGCTCAGTGGATTGAGCACCGGCCTGCAAACCATAAGGTCACGGTTCGATGCCTGGTCAGGGCACATGCCTGGGTTGCAAGCCAGGTCCCTGGTAGAGGGTGTGCAAGAGGCAGCGAATCAATGTATCTCTTCCCTCCATTCCCCTCTGTCTAAAACTAAATAAAATCTTTAAAACAAAAAGAGACAGTAACTATATTAGATACCAACAGCCAGCCTGAGTCAGAAAACAAAGAATTGGTGGTCGAGTCCCTGATGGACCCAGAACCTGCAAGGAGCCTTCACACTGTTTCATAGGAGGCTTGCAGACAACTGCACAGTAGATCGGTGTGCCACTGCTCCCTGCTCCACACCGGAAACTAAGGTGTGCTTCCATGAGCTGTACCTAAAGCCAACCGACAACAGTGTGACTCAAAACAGCCTGTGCTGAACACGTAGAAGGTAAGATGAGTTAATGTCACACCATGGAAGCAACATGTTTCAGGACACCAGTGACCAAGAGCTAAGGCAAGGACTAACTTGCAATAGGGCGGGGTGTGGTTGGGGAGACCTTTAACTGTAGGCATAGGCTAGTCAGATTTCATTGAATTTCTCTTGTCAAGACCAAGACTATTTTCCCTCTAATGTTTGATATTTTGTGTGCATGGAGGATTTTCCTCTTAATTTCAATGGCATAATAAAGAGACTGGCCTTTGGATTCAAAAGTCATGAGTGTGTAACATAGTTCTACTGGCTGTGTGACCTTATGTCACTTGTCTTCTCTGAACCTCTTTTTGCCTCAGTAAAATCCTGATAACATTTCACTGGATTAATGAAATACTAACATGTTTGTGAAAAGGACTATGTAAATTGTAAAAAGGTTAATCCAATATTTTTATGTAGTTACTTGCATAACTAGAAAGAGTTGATTATGCCTTACTAGCAGATTTTTCCAAGGCAGGGTTGACAAATACCTGCTAAAAATACAAAGTGCTCTACATTTACATGCAGCATGATAAGTTCAGGAAGAAGCAGCTGGGAGATGAATTTTATTATTTGTGTAGTCACAACTGCCAGAAACTCATTTTTTAAAAAGCACCATGCAGTCCTGGCCAGGAATCTCAGTTGATTAAAGCATCGTCCCATACACCAAGGTCACAGGTTTGATCCCCAGTGAGAGCACATACAGGAAGCAGCCAATGACTGCATAAATAAGTGGAACAAGAAACCAACATTTCTCTCCCTCTCTCTCAAATCAATTTTTAAAAATTAGTAGAAAGTATCATGCATACACACAAACATACCTTGGAGATACTGCAAGTTCCGTTCCAGACCATCGCAATACATGGCGATAAAGCGAGCCAATCTTTCTGCTGGTGAACAGTCTTGCCTTTAGTTGTACGAAACACATCTGTGACATGCAGTCAGGCAAAGCACAATAAAACAAGGGGTGCCTCGGGGCGGGGGCATATAACACACACACTGATTGATTTATGAAGCACCTTCCATGAAAGCGTAAGTCAAGATTTGTAATTCCGTCCTCTTGCCTTTTTTCTCTTTTCTCACACATTTCCCAAAAACCTAAGTGCCTGCTTTTAAAGATTTAGAGGCAGGAACAAACTTCAAGAGCAACTGACAGAAAGTTCTTTTAACCTGCCAGCCTTGTCTTTGTGGCCCTTTTTCTTAAGTTCTTGTATAAGTTCAAAGAAAGCATTTTTTTAAAATGAGATAGAATTAGTAAAACAAATAGTAATGTACTCAAGAAGACTTAGATAAAACAACCAACCAATAAAATCCTGGATACTGAGATAACTGGAAAACCACTAAAATATTTAGGCTGAACTTAAAACAGCAAAATGTTTCCTAAATGGCATAAAGGTAGCAAAATAGAGAGGGGTCATGAAACTAGTGAGAGGACTGGCCAAAGGAACTACCCAAGTGCAATTTTCTTAACAGGAGGCCTGGCAATGTAAGTTCATATTAAAGTAGAAACTAGAGTTCAACCAATGTACATTCTAAGGCCATCTTCATTCTACTTAAGGAAACGTTTTCTGAGGCAAAAGACAGATTCATTTATGCAGAGCTTTCTGTGTACACTGCAGAAAACATGAACTCTTCCGTACCGACAGCCTACACTGGTGCTCAGTATGGAATATCCCAAAAAGAGCTACAAAACTACTGATTGAACCATTGAATTTAAAGTAAAAACATCATTCCAAACAAATGGAAAGTCTCAGAGAAGACACATTTTGAATCTAACAGCCTGAGTATATCTAGTATGAGAAATGACCAGTACATTCAGTATCAAAAAAGTTAAATATAAATTCTTAAGAAGTTAGAGAAAGGAGAGATCAATGTGATTTGAATAATCAGAAATGACTTCATAAGCAGTGAAAGCAAAGAATGTAAGTAACGTCAACATTGTTGGAGCACTCACCACATGCTGGACATCGGGCTTTGTAGGACTTATTTTATATATCCCTTGCATGATAAGTATCCCCATTTTACAGATGAGAAAACTGAGGCTTAGATTGTGCGTCCAAGATCACACAGCTCTAAGCATCTAGACTGAGGTTTAAATCCAAGCCACCTGACTTTGAAGTCTGTACTGCCAATCACCACACTGTTATAGGCAGAATCCTCCCAAGCAGAGAGAAAGGGTTACAGCAAATAGCAGGTGCGTATACAAGTACCTACAAATAACAATGGAAACTCTGGTTCATGACAGCAATAATGGGCATAGTGGAACAACCTCAGAGCCATAACCAGAAGGCACCAATGCAGGGCCCTCAAGCCCCCAGTGTCCTTTCATGACCTGACGATGTAACACCGATCTCTAAGTCTGAGGATTATGACAACAATAACTACCATTGGTCTAGTGCTTTTCCATTTGCGAGGCACTACACTTAACTTTTCCTGTAAGTCGTATCACTTAATTCCTACCACAGCCCTATGAGGTATTATTGCCCTCATTTTGCACATGACCTTGAGTTTAGCACTCTGGTTCTCAGCTCTGGCTGCGCATTAGAGTCGCCTGGGGGAGGTTAGAAGAGCCCTGTTTAGGGTCCCACTCCAGAGCAATTCAGAGTTGGGGCGGAAAGGAGAAATAGCGTAGGCATTGGTGTTTTTGAAAAGCTCCTGAGGTTGCTCTACTGGGCAATCAGGGTTAAGAACCATTGCTTTACAGCAGTATTTCTCAAACTTCAGTTAGTACATAGCAGTGCCATCTGAAGGGCTTAAACCACCAGCCCCACCACCAGAGTTTCTCACTCAGTACCCTCTGGTGCGGCCCTGCTGTATTTGTAATAGTGATGACCATGTGTTGCTGATGCTGCTGGCCTGGAAACCACACTTTGAAAACTATGAGTTTAAAGTCACTTGGGCTGGCAAATTATTGTGGCCCCTATCTCGCTAGTGAAATTCCCCAGCCACCCTGGAGCCTTTTGCCAACACTGAAGGAGCAAATTTTTAGAACCTGACAGCAGAAAAACAAGGTATCACGCATATGGAGAAAGTTTTAGTTAATATGAAAGATTAAATATTATAAAAGAAGTTTGAATTATCCCATATATATGAATGGGGAGAGTACATATTATTAATACGTTATTTACATTTAATTTATAATATGTATAATTTCTACCAAAATTTAAATAGACATTTTCAAAGTTTGACAAAATGATTCAAATGTTCAAAATCCACTTGGAAGAAAAAAAATAGAAGAAAACACAAAAGAAATTCTGACAAGGAACAATGTGAGGGCCCATATCAGATTTTGAAACATATCCTTTAAACGGTTTTTAAGAATACTGATATTGGTGCAAGAATAAATCATTGGGAAAAAGACATAACCCAGAAATAGTTTCTATAATGTATAAGAGTTAATATATAATAGTGGATGCTTCATGAATTAGTTAATAAATGGTGTTACAACAATTAGTTGGCAGTTGTGGTGGGGAGCAATTTAGGTCACTGCACCATGCACCAAATAAACTTTGATGGGTCAGTAACTAAAGATCAGGGGAAAACTTTTTAAAATAGAAACTCTAAGAGAACAGAACTAAATCATTAGCTCAACTTGGAGAGAAGGTTATTTCTCTAACTTCAAAGTAATAAAGGAAGTCCCAAGGAAAAGGCAAGCAGATTAAAACAGGTTCTTAAGAAAATGATACCAAAAAAAATTTATGGCAAACTAGACAAATAAATAGGATCATTTTAAAGTCCTTTTAAATAGGATCATTTTAAAGTGTAAGAGAGCTCATACTATTTTATAAGACAAAAATCAAGTAACAATAGAAAAGGGTAAATGATATAAATAGGCCATACATGAAAGAGCAACTACAGGTAGTAAACGAATACATGGGATGCACACTCCAGCCGCAGGGCCTTTATACGTTTGCTTCTGAACACACTTTTCCCAGACATCCCTCCTGACACTTAAACTCACTTTTGGGGTCTTGGTTCAAATGTCACCTTCTCAAGAAGGCTTTCTCGGACCACCCTATTACAAGTTACAAATGTAATTCACGAATTCACCCCTTCTTCTGCTTTATTTTTCTCCATAGCAATTTTCACTGCCTGGCATGCTATAGTTTTTTGGTTTTTTATTTTCTTCCCTCTGTGAGAATCTAACTTTGTGTGGACAGGAATTTTACTCACTGCTATATCCTCAGTGCCTAGATCAGTACCTAATTCATAGCATCACGAAATTTTTGTTTGAATTAATGAAATACCCTGATTCACTTGTAATTGGAAAATAAGTACATGCTTGTCACTATATTAGAAAAGAAAAAACTAGAGAAAGGGAGAAAGGAAGGGATATTTAAAAGAAAGGAAGAGAAAGATAAATGAATGATAGTTCATTTGGATTGACAATGTGATTTAGTAAACTGGGAAATGGCTTCCAGGATTTTGTGACAGTAGAGTAAAAAACTGGAGAATAAGGTCCAGTGGGTTCTGTATGGATGAAACAGACATATCTGTAGAGTTTGAGGGCAGAAGTGGGAGGAAGAAGAGATCATACATGTCAGAAAAGACCACTGTTAGGGAACAAAAGGTTTTTGATTTTCTGTCTTTTTGGTATGAGGCTACATTTTACCTATTTTGGTAGTAAATATGGGCAGGAATTGCTAGCTACCAAACATGAGCATGAACTTAAGCTCCAAGTTCTGGGCCCTTTGGTCAGTAGGGGGTGCTGACCCAGAATGAAGCCAGACTGGTGACCAGCCCCACCAGGGCAACTGGCCTGACAGGTGGTGTATCCTGAAGGCATGGGCAACGACCAGGTCACTCCAGCCACAACTTGACAGGTCAGCCAGGAACCAGTTAGAGAGGACAGAGTGCACATCTCACAAACGGATGCAGGAAACCAGCAGCACCATGAACCCTGAGAGATAAGAGCCACACCGGCTGTCAGTGTGAGCAGGGAGCCCCCAGGTGAACAGGGGCCCTGCTGCTGCCAATTACCAAAACCAGGAGGGCTGCAGTGCTCACACTTATTCTGTTCACAAGTAGATAAGCTCTTGCTGAAAAATAAAGCTAAGGTGGCAAAGTCACTAGCACGTGAAAACCAAAAGTGGATATAACACATTGAGGTTTAAGTAAAGGGAAAATAAAGATTAACTCACAAATTCAATG